AACAACTGGATTTCAATTCGTAATTCCTGTTAATGACAAGTCGTTCAACTCAAGAGGAGAATTTAATGTGGTGGCAGAGGCAATTGCAAGGTCGGAAACTACACATGATGAGGAAATGAAAAATAACCAAACAATTTCTCCAAACAGCCTGTCAGCATTTGGATAAAGATAAAGCGTCAAAAGGACCAGGAGCAAAAAAAAGCGATCAATCAACAAAATAATAGAAGATGAAAATAATTGCGTTGTTGAAGTTGAAGATAATAAGACAATTAGTAGTCTTAAGAAGAAATGTACAAGGTACAAAAGCAAAAAGAAAGAAATCATCTCCAATAGTAAGGAGAAGTACTGAATCAACAGTAATTTACATTAGTTTTTCATTTAGTTATTTCTCAGTTTTATAGGCAATTTGTCTTTCCATAGTAAGTTATTTGACTTTAGTTTAAATCACATTATCTTTCAAATATTTATGCATTGATATCTTCATATATTATTACAATATCTTCAAATTTCACGTAAATATAATTAAGTAAAAAAGAGGTAAAGAGAAAATATAAAAAGTATTGCAAAATTCAGTACAACCAATTAAAAGTATTTCACGTGCCCTTTACTAGTTCATCTAAAATAACTGAACTCAAAGCCAATTAAACTCCAGTATATTTCAATTCAACCAATTGAAAGAGTTACTAGACTATTACTTGTGACTAAAATCTGAGCAACATTAGAACATAAAAGTAGAGTAGTCTACTTACGAATACATAAAAGTAAAAATGGAGTCATACACCATTAAGGTGTAATTTACCGAACATAGGATCTGAAATTCATAAACCTTAATAATCTAATGAAGGTAGCAAGTAACCAAAAAACAAAATGACATCCAAAAGACAATACTGCTCCGCATCAACCGACCAACCACCATAAGTCAATAATCCAATGAAGTCAGCAAGTAACGATAGATAAACTTCCACTCACAAAGAAACGAGATAACAACGTCTTACAATCGGTGATCCACTGATCACAAATAAGAAAAGCAGTAGAATACCTACAGCTAAAACATTAGCAAAGCCATTCATGGCTAGAAGAGGATGAAACAGCCTCAAGAGCTAAAGAAGAAGCCACACAAATAAAATCTGAACATGAGGTTTCAAAGGAACATGACAGAGCTAAGTCTACTAGCATATAAATATTATCTGCAATAGCTTTCTTTGAATCATCAAAAGGGTGTGAGTTCTTCAGGTGCATTAAGGCAGCTTCATCATCCATGCATAATTCAAGCTCTTTCCAATCTTTCAAAAAGGCAGTCCATAAACCGACCAATAATCTAATAAAGTCAGCAAGTAAAAGACAATACTGCTCCGCATCAACCGACCAACCACCATAAGTCAATAATCCAATGAAGTCAGCAAGTAAAAAAAAGCGCAAAATGAGTACTTGTGAAAAAGTCTGACAGCACCAGCATTGGAATAGGAGCTGAAGCAGAGGTGCATATAGAGATGCATAAATTTGCATATAAAGATGAAGAACAAATGAAATGAAATGTGAGTGTGGTTGGTTGGGTTCACACTGATTTGGTTTAGCCGTAAACAAAGTAGCAGAAAGGCATTCTACTCAGGTGAATGACAAGATAGTAGGATGAGAATAGAAAAAATGTGCAACAGAGGTTTCGATGTATTTTATAGGAAGTAAAAAGAGTTGGGGAAAAAGGTGGAAACAAGTAAGAAATAAGGAAATGAGAATGAGGAAGACACATAGAAGAAGCACGGTGCCCTACCAAATTCATCACATTCCTAACATCTTCTTTTCTGATGGAAGGATATTGAACGGGTTCTCTCAACCACCATTTTTCGAGCATAAAATGGGCCGAACCTCCTACGTTTTCATCTCTACACATTGGACAAGTGTTGTAATACCAATGTGTTGAATACGTTTTTGTTAATTTTATTTTATTTTGCTTTTCTGATTTTTTTTTTGTGTACATATATTTATTTACATTAAGTGTTTAATTTTTAGTACAATATTATTGTTATTTGGTTTTCCTTGTGTTATTAGTTGTCTTGCTAGAAAGAAAGAGATAAGAGGAGAGGAGATTTGGTGGTGATTCTGCTGAGAAGAAAAAATAGGGTGACAGAGGCGTGAACTAGAGAAGAGAGAAAAAAAAAAAAGGGAAGTGCAACAACAACTTTTTCTCTTGGAGGCTCGGGGAATTTTGAATATATGTGACAGCACACAATCTTTGACTTAAGAGAATTGAAGCCGCAGGAGAAATCAATTCAGAGGCTGCAGATTTTATCTTTCATTGGTTTGGAAGCTTTAGCACATCCTTTGTTATTCTTTGGGGCAAGCAGCAGGCGTGTGAATCAGACAAGAGAAAGGAGCAACAAATATATATTTTTTAATGGAGCTTTGATATTTTTTATATTTCTCTTTGGCATGATTTATTTGATAATATTGGTGTGATATAATTCATATAATTGTCCAACTCGCGTTTTGTGTTTTTCGTAGTTCACATGTTTTTGGATTGGATGGAAAACTTTGTGATTATTTTATTCTAGTAGAATTTTGGCATGTGGCCTTAGTCTAGTGTGTATATTCACTTGTAGGTTAAATTTTATTACTTTCGTGTTTATTTATTTTCCGCTGCGTATTGTAATTATCACATTTGTGTGTGGATTTTTCGGTATCTAAAATTTCTAACACGATGAAACAACTAATTATCACATTTATGTGTGGATTTTTCGGTACCTAAAATTTCTAACACCATGAAACAATTAGGACTTTAGCTTGCAGCCAATATATACGATCACATTTATGTGTGGATTTTTCGGTACCTAAAATTTCTAACATTTATGTGTGGATTTTTCCGTACCTAAAATTTCTAACACGATGAAACAATTAGGACTTTAGCTTGCAGCCAATATATACGTTAGAGCATTCCTTACAAACCACATGCGGCCAATATATAGTGAGAGCAACTCCATCCGCAAACTTCTTCAAACAAATTATATACTCACCCTTTGAGTTCCTAAAGAAATATTTTGACAATATGCAAACATATCAATAATTTTCTTTTCAAACAATAACATTTATATACTCACCCTTTGAGTTCATGAAGAAATATTTTGACAATATGCAAACATATCAATAATTTTCTTTTCAAACAATAACATTTATTTATCAATCATTTTCTTTTCAAACAATAACATTTATTAGATGAAGTTCTATATTAACTATATGACTGCAGTGTACCCACTCTATTCTTAGTTATTAGTGAATTAACAAATACCTATAAATAATATAATTTTTCTCTTAACAAATTTTTCTAATCCTCACAACTAATTTACTATAATTTACCAATAATATTTATAATCTTGAAAAGACTATCAAACAATATCTATTTAAAATATTAAAGCATCTAAATTGATGTTATATAACACACTTAAAAATATCTAAAATATTCTATATTTGTTTTCAAAAAATGTATGAAATTATCTAAAATTTCTAAAATATTCTTGAAAAATATGTATAAAAACTCATAAATTAAATTGTTCTATGATAATTTACTAAAATATTTTATATGCATCATGAAATATAACTTTCATCAAAGTTGTTTCAAACACACACAATCCTTGTATTGTTGTATGGTTTTTTGTGTAAGAATGATGGTTTATGATAAAGAATAACATTAAAAACTTTTGAAGCTTTCAATTTATATTTTTGTGCGTTTGTGTTTTAAGAGATCCGGTTATTTGAATTATGCTCTTATCACTTGCAATATTGTTTACACCTTAAGGATTTTTTGTTTCCTCTTAGTTTTCAAATCCTATTCTCTTTGTCTTTAAGAGTGTTTAGCTAGCAATCATCATATAGTGTATATCTTATTTGGGTAATTTATAAGCTTTCTGTATATAAATAAACTTGGTTTAGTAGGACGAGCTTTTTTTAAAAAGTTCGAGCTTATTTGGATAATTTTTCAAATAAGCCTGTTGCTGCTTATAATTTTACGTAACACTTTTATCATATCAGCTAGCTTTTCAGCCATAAGCTCTTAGCTATAAGCTCGAAATGCACTTATGAGCCATCATCTAACTTATCAGGTATCACTTATCTTATCAACTAATTTTACCAAACATACCTTGGGGCTAAAAACTATTGAGTGAAGAAAACCAAAATAAAAAATTGAGTGAACCTAGTTTTCGCTTTTCAGATTCTACGTGAATATGATTTTCTTCTTTGAGAGTGATCCCAAGACTTATTTTTCTTCTTTGTGAGTGAATCGGAAGCCTGAAACCTAGGTTATTTGGATTATTTGTGAGTGAACCTAGTTTATCCCTCTTTGTTAGTAGGGTTTGAGAATTCGACGAGTAATATATATGAGCTTTGTGCGAAGGTGTTGTGTGCTATAAGAAATAGACGAGCTGGTGAATGTGTGGTTGGCCCGAAACTTGTATCTAATTGATAATCTTGTGTGTATAATTATACGGGGCCTGAGCCTAAAATTCCCTTGACAAGTTTAGTCCCGATTACAGTGATCTTGTTCCTTTCCTATTGTATTAAATTTTTTTGGTCTGTTACTCTTTGCGCAATAATACTCGTTGGTTTGCTCTTTTGTGTTCCGAGCTCGTTTTGTCTATATTCAATCTTGTTTCTCGTTGTTCAGACTCATGTTGGGAAAGTGTCCCTTTCAAACAGGGCTTCAACATGCGGATATCTTGTTGCAATCAAACCATATTAGGGGTAGAATTGCAGCATATCTTATTGGAAATGTTTTACTGCATAAGTGTAATTTCTATGGACCAAACAGTAGAAGCTAGCACACCTTACCCAATTATCGAGAGATGCAATTAATTATAATCATTTTCTCATCACAAGAAACAGCCTAAAAATGTCAGCCGCTTTCAATGTTTGTATGTGGAGTGCTAATACAATTTGTACAATAACTTTTTTTTTTTTTTTTTGTTAAGGATGAAAACCAAAGCAAGTAATTGGGTCAAAACACAGGACAGTTATCCACAATGACACCCTTGGCCGGGGGGCACATGGCAAATGCCGTCGATCAAGTGCAACAGCCACCAGGCTACGCCCACGTTCACCGTGCCCATCACAATCGTACCTACAAACTGTTATAAGATGATTTGGGTTATAAATTATATCCAGTTAGTTTTGATCAATCACATTTTTAACTCAAAATTAACATAACTCAAACCCGTATAATCAAATAATCCAAATAAATTATCCTCACACATTACATCAACTTTTACTAGTTATTCATCAATTTAGATAATTTTAATTATCGATCACTTTTAGTATCACTCATCTCATACTTTAAAATCAAATCAATTTTAGACATTTTATTTTAAGTATTGTTTTAAAACTAACTCAAAACCTCACTCAAACCTAATTCAACTAACTATTTCAAAGTTAACTCCAGTTAACCAAAAATTCCAATCAAAACACAAATTGATTTATATCCAAGCAGCCCCTTAGATGATCATGAGTATTGATAGGAAAATCAACGAAGTGTTGCATTTGCATGTACCTGAACAAGGAATATTGATCTAGGAGGAATCTTCAAAAGCTTGAAATCACTAAGAAAAGCAACTGCTTGAGACATGCTCATGTACCTGTACGGCCTCCCGGGATATATCATCCCCATAAGGTACATTGTGATACATTCAGGCCCGGGGTCTATACATAAATTAAATTTTATCAATATTACCAAATCTTCTTGCGGGTTTTTTCAGATGGACCTTGTTTGATGAAAAAGATGTGTATGTAATGTACTTGGTTCGTAGTTGCGGTAATAATGCTGACAGGAAGAGTGAATGAGAACGCAAACAAAGCTGCAAGCAAAAGGGCCCAAATCGGCATCTGAATTTCCTTTTTCAAGAAAAAGGCAGAGGGCAAGCGAGATCACAACTGTCAAAGCAAGAAGAATGTAAAACCACCATGAAGGTATATCTTTGTACTTCTTCATGAGTTTGGTGTGAATATCACTCTTGCCCTTTGAAGATGTCCTGTATTGTTCGTATATCTCCCTGCAAATTCAATTCAATAATAAGCACAAAAGAATATATTTGCAAAATATAAGTAAGTGAATAAAAGAAATACCTTCCCTAAAACAAAGCAACATGTGTCGCGGTAGATGCAATCGTAGCAAAGCCAAACCCATATGTAAGAGAAAAAAAATGTGTTCAAATGAATCCTCCCCAGCTCTATACGGTCCACGATGGCCGATATATTATATTCCTGACCATTAGCCAATATATTATATTCCTGACCATCATCAGTAAAAAGGTTGGCCAAATATATGAGAAAGTTAATAGCATTACGTTCAATCCCGAATAAAAAATGGGTATCACGATGTACATTATCACGAAAACATTGGCGATGGCAAAAAAGGGGGAGATGAGTGGGCTGAAGACAAACTAGTATTATGAACAAAAATAGAACACAAAGTTCAATTACAATTCAAGCTCAAACGACAAGTATTACGGATTAATGTTGTTGGATACTAGGCCTTTTGATCTCCTTCGCTTGCAAACCTACCAACTGAGCTCTCTTGTTATGAACACCTCCACCTGAAAAAAAAACCCTAAATTTGAATGATTTCATTTGTGCACCCAACATTCAACGTCTTCAGCTTTAGATCATATGGAATATGCCCGGACAGCATGCTCAATTAGATCGATTGGCCCTCTGCACCGTTGCATTATCACCATACAAAATATAATTACTTATTACAATATAACAAAATTTCAATACGTTACCAGAAACAAGCTCACGATATAAGCAGTACGCGTAATCGTGACAGTCCGTCACAAATAGCAGCAGAGTGAGTCCATGTCGGGTATAGTGTCTGAACAAGTACAAAACATATTGAAGTTCAGTGCACTAAATCCGGTCAAATCTTGAATATAAGTATATTCAGGATTTGGCCGGATTTGGTGAATCGAACTTCCATAAGCACAGTTTTTTATACTTGTTCAGACAGTATATCGGACACGGACTCAGTCTGCTATCTGTGACAGACGTTCACAATTACGCGCACTACTTACATCGCGCGCGTAATCGTGACAGTCCGTCACAAATAGCAGCAGAGTGAGTCCGTGTCGGGTATAGTGTCTGAACAAGTACAAAACATATAAAAGTTCAGTTCACTAAATTCGATCAAACCCTGAATATACTTATATTTAGGATTTGGCCGGATTTGGTGAATCGAACTTCCATAAGCACAGTTTTGTACTTGTTGAGACAGTATATCGGACACGGACTCAGTCTGCTATCTGTGACGGACGGTCACAATTACACGCACTACTTATATCGCGTGCTTATATCGCAAGCTTGTTTCCGGTAACGTATTGAAGCTTGATGTTATATTGCAAAATAATTTCAGCAGATTAATAAATTTTGTATGGTGATAATGCTGCAGAAAATCCCATTGGGCCAATAGACCCAATTGAGCACGCTGTCCGGCAGATTCCATATGATCTTAAGTTAAGACGTTGAATATTGGGGACACAAATGAAATCATTCAAATGAGGGCTTTTTCAAAGATAAGGGTGTTCTTAACAAGAGAGCTCAAGGGGTGGATTTGCAAGCAAAGGAGATCAAATGGCCAGTCTCCAGCAGCATCAATCCGTAATCTTTGCAGTTTGAGCTTGAATTGTAACTGAATTTTTTGTTATACTTTTGTTCATAATATTACTTCCTCTTCAGTTCACTCATCACCCTTTTTTTGTCATTTTCGTGGGATATTTCGTGATAATGTCCGATACCCATTTCCTATTGGGGCTTGAAAGTGTACAATGCCAAAACCTTCCCCATATATTCGTCTGACCTTTATATACTGTTGATGGTCTGGAATATACTATATTCGACATACTATATTCGACGGACGAACTCGATGCACGGGCACTCACTCGGTGGTTTGATTCAAAATGCACTCGGTGGTTCAACTCGGACTAGGTGCACGAGTACGCACTCAGTGGTTCGACTCGGACTCGGTGCACGGCCAAGCACTCGGTGGTTTGGCCGAGGGTCGAATACGTGTGCGGGATGTCGAATCGCATTGAGGGTACGTGCCAATGCACTTCGGTTGGATAATTACACTTGCTTCAAGGCAATCTGCCTTGATAGCCTTCTTAGGCTCGGTTATGGTCCCGTCGGCGACTAATGGTCGGTCGATCACCTTTCGACACCCAAAGACTCATTATTATCTTATGACGTCTAAGATTGTTTAGACGGTACTAGTGTTCGGAAGATTAAACTCGAATCCAAACTTTACCCGATTATCGAAACCAAGTAAAACTAGGATTCTCGATTCTCGAAAATCCTAACTCATTTAAGACCAATAATTTAGAACTTACGTACTATGTGATTTATTAGGATTTCACATCCACAACTGCAGCTAAAATCTCAATCGGCTAATTTTCTAAGATTATCGCATTTATCGACTAAAGTCCCGATTTTTAATCTAAGTCAAACGATCTCCAATAATCACGAAAATTTAACCACATGAACTTCAATATATTTATAATTTTCGGTCAAAATCTCATCTCAAAGCAAGAATCACCTCCTAACTCAGTCAACTAAAATCGGACATTATCGATTCAAATTTTCAAAATCTGCTCCCCTATCAAACGAACTCCAAAATTCAACAAATTCGAACCTAAGCCTCAATACATCAAAATATGATTTATCGAGTTGGTTTCATAATTTTCGGGTCAGTCCACTATTTATTACGAATTTTTAGCCGTTTAATTCAATAAATTCCTATAAAATCATCTCTTGCTCGAAAATTCCCAAACTCATTTTCAAAATTAACTATAATTGTTGTCTAATGCATCGTGCAAGAATTTCAGCTATTATACCTCCCGAGGGGTTCGAATCAAAAATCGAAAGATAGCCAGGGCTAGTGAACACTTGGTTGTGCTCAGAATCGGATCCGGCTCAGATCTGAGCTGAACCGCATAGGTCTGGTCTGTTGGGCTCGGGTCTAAAGTCGGGCTGTTCCGGTTCGCACAGATCGAGGCTCCGTGTGTGAAGGCACGAGCTAGAACCGGTGTGCGGACGTGCTGCTGGCGTGAACACAGCTCGGCGACGGGATGGCGGCTGAACGGCGACGGGATGGCGGCTGAACGGCGACGGAGCTGAGCTGCGAGATCGCCGTCGAGAAGTGGGTCGACGGGAAGGAGCTGGCTGCACGGTCCTCGCCGGAAAAACGGAGCTGCTGCAAGGTCTCGCCGGAAATGGTGAAGGGTGGCTTGAGTTGGACTGCTCAAGAACGAGCTAACCGCCGTGAAGAAAGGCTGGACGGCGGCAGGTTTGGGGTCGCCAGAGCTGTGAACGGCGGCGGCTCGCCGGTGCTGAGCTTGGCAGCGCGAGGTGAGATCGGTTGGGCGGGAACCGCGGCTTGAACGTGGCTGCCGGCGTGGAAGAGAGTAACCGGCGGGAAGGGCTCGACGGCGAGCTTGGTGGCGGGACGGAGAGCTTGGTGGCGGAGTGACGTGAAGGGCGAGCTGCGGTGGCGTGAAGAAGCTCTTGCTGGCGGAAAAACGGGTCGCCGGAGGGAAGGGCTCGCCGTAAAATGGTCGCCGGTGAGGAGGTCTCGCCGGGAAGTGGCCGGCCGGATTTTTTGATAGTGTTGGAGGATGGTGTTGGTGGTGGCTAGGGTTTTGGAGAAGATTTGTATATATATAGGTGATAAATTTAGGGTTTGAGTAGTAAAATGGACCTACCATTGGGCTTGTAATTATTGACTTGGGCTCTATAAAATTGGGTTTTTAAATTCAATTCGACTTGGGCTCGATTAAGTCGAATATTGACTAAGGAATTAAATGCTCGGCTAAGAAAATTAACTAGATTTGGACTAAATAGATTAGTTGGTCGAATTAAATAATATTATATCGAGATTTAAAAATCAGTTATGGGCTCGATTTTTAAACGAACTAAAATTAAATCGAACATGGCTCGATTTAATAAAATGGGCCGTAATAAAATCGAACATGGGCTCGATTAGTTAAAATGAGTCGGAATAAAATCGATTTGCACATTATTGGGCTTTGGCCCAACTTAGTGAATTTTTCGATCATTCCAAGGCTCGGTTTTACCTTAAAAATAAAATCGATACTTGGGCTAAATAAATCTAATTTTAATAATTAAATATTAAATAAATTCTCCATGCCTTAGACTTAATACTAATTATTGGATTTAATGCAAATAATAATAATTGAATGCATCAAATAAGTAAACTTGTTATTTATGAAAATAAAGTCGAGCTCCATAAATAGTAAGAATGTTCGGGGCGTTTCAGCAATAGTTTTTAAACTTTACTGTAATAAAATGCACCTTTTAACTAAACTTTGTATTACATAACTTATAGATTCATAGCATTATAAACTAAAATTTGATATTAGTTAACATTTTTATGGTTTATAATCAATTTATTATTGTGCTTACATATTTTAATTCTAGCAATTAAATCAAAATACAAATAAAATATAATAAAAATAAAATAATGTCAATATGCTTTTCATATTTTAATCTTGCTATTAGGTTCATAAATTCATGTGCAAAATATATTTTTTGTTTTCTTTTTATGTTATGTCATTGCTTTATTACTTTTTTTCTTCATCCGTCCTACTTGATACTCTATTTTTTTGAAAAAAAGTCATTTGAGTAGTTTTATATGCCATGTTATTTGTTTCATATGAATTTTATAGAATTATATTGCACCAACTTTTTTTTATTGTGACATGTAGTTATGTAACTAGTAATATCAAAATAATATACAATTATTGTAACAAATTTATATTATAATACTTTATACTTAATGTTGTATGTTGTGAAATTGTCAATAATAATTCCCACACTTTGTTATTTGTTCCACATACTATTTGAGAATATTTTAATGCAATTCAATCTTATTGAAGTTGTTTGCATCTCCTTTATCAATTTTTCTTATATTGATAACTTAATATTTTGTTTACCTATTTACATCTATTTTATTTAGGTTTTACTTAATATTTTGTTTACCTATTTACATCTATTTTGTTTAGGTTTTACTTTTGGAAGAATTTTGTTTTTGTTTGAATCATATTTTATTGAGATAATCGTGATTGTAATTCATTGAGATCTTTAATGGTTATTACAGTTTTGCCATTAAAGATAATACAAACATAAACATAAAGATTTTTTCTTCCTTACAATTTTTTACAAAATTATTCCTCTTTTTATAATTGTACAAATATAGATTAGATATGTCAATAAAATGTTAAATATTAACAATGCTTAATTTCGTTTAGTAAATTATAATTCTCTTTTTTTAAGCATGTGCAATACCATTTAAATAGTCAACCAACATTCTCAATGCACCCACTTGTAATCAATTATTTGTCAACTAACATTCTCAGATGAGGATTATGATATAAAACATCCCGGAATATTACAGTATCAAATTCGTATGAGAATTCAAGGCGGTGACTTTTGTTTTCAATTCCATGCACACTTTTTAGTACGATTTATCCCCTAATCCTTAGACGAGAATGACAGTAATAAATGTTTTCGAAGACAGTAATAAATGAATTTTGAAGACGTGAATGACAGTAACAAACCACGCCCCTTGGTTCTTATAAACTGCTGCAACGGTACACAGTTTATGGCACTGTCCATTTCTTAATCAAAGAACAATTTGCACATGGAATAAATATATACATACATATATGTATGTAGTTTTCTTTTAATTTTTTTTTTTATTATTTTTTGCGGATATCAATAAATTCCAGAAGACAACCGAAAGTCACATGGTAACATCTCCATTGTCCAGCATGGAAAGACCTCATTTGCAAATTATAAATTCAAACAAATACCACAAGTAGAACAGATTACGAAGAAATATAAAAAATAGTTGAAAACAATGTCTTTCTGCAGCAACATGTTGAATGATACATTCGCACAAAACCATAACCCAATAAAAATCATTTCACACCCCAAAACGAAAACGAGGCGAACTGAAATCGTTTGTACAAACCAAGGCAAATTTACATGCCACAGACTGGAATGTGCCGCAAAGTTAAATGCATAAAAACCAGAGAAAGAGGTAGAGAGCAAAACAAAAGGAAGGAAAATAAAAAGAAAAAAATGAAAGGATTTCATCGAGACACCAATCAAATAGGTTAATTATATTATAAGCACAACGAATTAAGTTACAAGGATAATTTGGGGTCCACTGTACCAGAAGCACTTCCTTCACCAGATAGGATTTGGTCGGGATCCTGTTTACAATTTCACAAAGCTATAAAATGTTGTGGACTAAGATAGTTATAGTTAGATAAATGAGGAGGGCAAAAGGATTACCTCTATTCCCCACTTGATATAATCGGGGGACTCACAAGCCTTGTACTCGTCGACAAGACTCTCAATGATGTCTCTTGATTCATCGAATTCAGAAAGATCATTGTCCTGAACATGTTTAATTACAGTCTCATTTAAGAATACGAACAAAAGATTATGAACTCAGGAAAAACGCAAATTTATTCAAGTCCTGTGTGACTGTGATATCATTTGTTGGTGAGAGATTAGTTTAGTTTTTTCTTCCAGTCCAATGGAATTGCGTAATAATAGTAATTTGGAATATTAAATACAAGAGTGTGACCAAATGTGGGTTGCAAATGGAATAATGGGCATTTAATGAAATTTTGTGTGAACGTGATTATAGTTTGAAGAGGAAGGGTAGTGTTGAATAGCGTAAGCTTTGGTAAACTTTCTCAGAGACAATAATGCAGTGACATGACACTTCTGGTGTAATCGTACCAAAAAGAAAATATAAAATAAGATGGAAAGATATGCGAGCAAATGAGACCTTAAAAGATGAGCACAGACTTTACAATCAGTCTGTTTAAATGCATTACGACGTACTTAAATTCTCATTGCATGCATGTTTTTATTATAAAAGAAAATATTTATAAGGTGAATGAGTTCTAGAAACAGTAATAAAGCAAAATGTGAAGGAGTTAAACACCTTGCAGAGTATATGCATAGACAAAGAGTTGAGTGAAATAGAGAACTCACAGCAAACATTGGGTGATTCCTGTAATTGTCCAGGAAAGCTTGTCTTTTTCTCAACTTGTCATACTGGCTTAAACACTTGGAGAATAAGTGGCGGATGCCAGTGTGACTGGCTAGCATGAGACCACTAACCTAAAATACACGCACAATGCTTTGATGAGGTATTTGCACGTGCAATTTTTATACAATTGGACCTAAAAAATTATAAATACATCTGCAACTCGGCACAGAAAAAACCAAGGAGAGACTGACGAGTGAAAATATTATTTCACCACAAATCAAGTTTCTGCTCTCAAGAAAACTCACTTTGTTTAAATAGATAATTATCAGGGACCTACATTAGAAAATGTAATAGCACCACATATGCTCTAGCAAAAGCATGACACTAAATTGTTCTGCTTCTAACCTAAATATGATCCTACAAGGTCAGAAATGCAACCTTGTGCAACATTTGAACCATAGGTCTTATTAAGATGATAAAGAGTACATCAATATAAGTCTTCCAAACGTTTATAAATGGTAAGACAACCTTAGTATATAATTATAGAAACAAGGGTGGTGGGGGGATTTGAACATACACTCTGACAACACCATGAGCTATAAAAAAATCAGCAAGACAATAAGCAATTGCAATAGGAAGTCATGAAAGCAATTTAATATGTAGGTATTTCAACATGCTTCACTTCATTCGCCACACCATTTAAGAAAAAACATAATAAGATAATGCATTCGTCTTTGCACTTCTCCATTTTTTTTTCACTTTTCCTCTAGTTATGTTTTTATCACGTGTCACTGAGAAGTAAAGCTCCCGAACAAACAAATCTGATAAGTAATCGTCAGGATAGAGAAGAGGACAAGAAAAATACTAGTAAAACACTAGTTGATTATTCATAAATAAGCCATCAATAAAAGGAAATTTAAGCCAGTTCAACACAGTAGATGCTCAAACTTTTAATAATGGTGAGATGCAATTATAAAGATGAAACTGCAAAAAATAAAATCTTACCCTGTGGGCTGTCTGAACATAAGGAGACTTTCTAGACAAAGCAACCTATCAACATAACAAGATAGTTTCACTACTTAATACATAACATGCACAATAAAGCATCAAATTCTAAACAATAAATAATTATGAACGTGCCTGTATGCTAGCAGGACCCCATTCAATAAAATTGACAAGTTTCCTCTCGCGTATTCTCTGTAGACTTTCATGAACCTGGTTTTGAAATTACAAATGCAGTAAAACAAAGAGTTCAGCAACATTGTATGTTTCTAAAAGCTACCATATTTCATTCACCTTATCATATTGGTTTATGTTGCTAAAAAGAAAAAATAATAATCAAAATGCAACAGATGTATACAAATAATATCAAAATGCCAAATTATGCAAAATGACATCATTGCTGAAGTTCGCGTATCCAAAATTATATATAAATCTTCCATTTAGCAAAAACTATCAGAACTTTAATTCAGATACCTGAGTAGGATCCACTTCTCCTTGAATAATGTTCAATATCGATATGTACTTAGATTGGCTGGCTTCCTTGGTTCGGGCACAAGAGGAAACCATAATATTTTTGGTCTGCAAAAGACAACATTGTGAGAACATTTAGTATACTAGAACAGCCAAATCAAAGATATTTCATCTTGCCTGGAGAAGCCTTCTCATCACATCAAGCACAGTTGTTTTCCGAATGACATTGGCCTGTCAATATGGTGCATCGAAGTTAGATTTCAAGTTTTATTACTACTTTTCATAGAATGCTAAAAACTTGATTGATCAACCATGACATGTTTAGAAAGAATATCTTGAAATATATTTTACAATAGATAAGATGTAAACAACCATAAGTATTCCCAAGAGAGTATTAAACATCTAGTTTCCAGTCAAGGGGGGTGCTTCTGTTTAATTCTTCTAGTCACATTTTACCAATCAAATATAACAATTGTCTAGTTTTAATTGTAAAACTTGCTGTTTAGATCTTAGACGCAACTTGAATTTCTGTTTTTGTTGTAAAAACTAACAGCAAGATGATCCAGGTGTTTCAATGGAGCATAGGCCAGTTAACAGACAGTGCATAAGTACTTCATATGATTTGACTCCAGGTAATACCCCATTTAGAAAGAAAGAAAGAAAAAAAGAATGTCTGCAGAAAAAACCAAACAGGTACATGTCTGCAGAAAAAACCAAACAGGGTCAATCATCACTGCAAACATTTCTAATAAAGCTTACTCACAAATCAAGAAGTGAGTCTATTGAATATAGAAGATGTTATATTCAAAGCGAAGCAGCATCACTGATGATTTATATTTTGCAATATAAAATATTTGTTATTATCAATTTGCGAAAATTTCAATGTGCTTCTAACATTCCCTAAAAAACGAAGTCTATATTTTTAACAATATCTTGCTGCATACTTGACAATTGATAAAACGTCACCGATAATTGCAACAACAATGATAAGAAGAAAAAATATTACACAAGGCTGATCGTTAGTTAATATATGAAAAGCTGAATCATGTCAAGCAATATCTGACCTGGCGCTCCACAGTAAGGGGTGTGTATCCTGTCATTAGAAAGTGGCACCGGGGAGTAGGGATCAAAGAAGCGAGTAGACCAACCAAATCATTGTTCATATATCCTGGATACCGTAAGGTGGTTGTGCTTGCTGACATGACAGTAGAAACAAGAGAATTTGTTTGGGCAAAAGTGGGAGTCGTTATGTGAAGCCGCTCTACAGCAATTCTGTTAAGTGCAGTATTATCAAGAACAACCACGCAATCAGCATTCAGTGTCAGACGTTTGAGTGTTAGAAGAGAGTTGTATGGCTGGACCACAACATCACTTGTTTCGTTTTGATTGGGAAACACACTGTAAGTCTGAACAAGTTTTTTGCTATATCGGTCATTCAGAGTCTCCAAAAGATACGATCCCATGCCTACAACAGAGAAAATGTATTGCGATAAGCATAAAATAATTAGCAGACTGAAAAGGGTGATCCCATGCCTACAACAGAGAAAATGTATTGCGATAAGCATAAAATAATTAGCAGACTGAAAAGGGTGACATGGGGATCCTGAAAAGAGAAACAAATAAAGGAAATCCTTCAAGCCAAATGACGAATAAAACCTCTGATGAACATAAATGCTGAATAGCCGGAATTTAAGAGCAGCAAGAAACCTCTGATGAACATATACCAGCATCAAACTATCATGATTAAACTTGTAAATTTAAGACGATCCAAAGTCTAGACATAATCATTTTGTCATTATGGATAAATGAAGAGCGTTAAACAAGAATATATAGAACAGGTAAAAGCACCTGAGCCTGTTCCTCCAGCAATCGAGTGGCACAAAACAAAACCTTCGAGACTATCGCTGCCATCTGCCTCTCTATCGATCATGTCAATTAGATCCTCCTCATATTGTTGACCCTGATGAAATAGTGACAGTCTCACATCCAAAATAACAAAACTACACCAATAAACAATGAAGCAATGCCATAATATTAAAAGAAAAACAAAAGTGAAGTCCAAGAAAGATGTGGGTTACTGCATTAGCCTGAAGATGCCTATGTGAACAATGGGGAAGAAATCAAACATCACTAGATAGTATAATCAAGAAAAGGAAAAATGTAACCTTAAGAGGATGTAAAGTGACTAGAACCGTGGCAATTATAAGTGCATCATTCACAATAATTATATTATTTATGCAAAAAAAAATATGGTTCATCATACCAAATAGTTTACAGTTCTGATTAACTTGGGTTACAATCAATTATAAAACATTTAGATCCAAGCAGCCCACTAATATACTACACATTCACAATTTTGTTTGTAGTACTACAGAGTAAAGGTATATATATGTTAAATAGGAAGCTCTTCAGACCTGATGGTATCCACTTGCCCAATTGTTACCAGCACCCCCCCCATGATCCGCAATAAATACATTTTCGTGATTGTAGAGGTTTCTGTATTCACTGTTCTGTATACCATTTATCACCCTAGGCTCCAAATCCATAAGTAAAGCTCGTGGTATATAATGCTGATCGTCTGCTTGATAGAAGAACACATCTTTTCTGTCACCTCCCTGCAGCATGAGCATTCATAGAAATACCTTTATATTGTGTCCATATTGTTAATTTTGAGCAGTCAACTTCTGACAGGAGGTTGCAACAATCAGCAACTTGACACTAGAACACCCAGACAGATAACTACATATTTGCGGTCAATCCCAAAATATATGGGGACTCATATTCTTTTGCAGTGTTAATTACTCTGATTCAAAGAAGGAACAGTATCATAACGCGACATTGACATTGTAAAAATCAGAAACAGATTATAGTACATCACATTTCAAATGTGTTGTCATTCGCAATCCCACTTATTAGCCTCATGCATCACCAGAGACTGCTATATAGACTATTAGGGCATGTGCTTCCTCTATAAAAGCATATGCGGACAATGAGAAAGTAAGCATGATTTGAAAGGCTTGCACAATATATTTGGCCCCAAACAAACCTCTACATCTGGAACATAATTCACAGTAGACAAACATGGTTTTTTTCTTCTTCATCAACAAAACCCGATTAGCAGTGTTGTACAATATTTCCCCATACTTTCACATATCTTTAAATATAACAATAAGTTCAAGTAAATGTAAGCTCAAACTCATCAACACTCTTCTTCAGCTAGCCATAATGACTTCTGCTGGTTTAATTTCGTACATGAGCTCCGTATATTTAACAATATTGCACTCGTCTTTAGGAAAATAAGATTACAGGTACAACTCCAAACGCAGAGACGACGATTCATCACCATTCTCACCATCTAAAGCTCAACTTTCTTCCCAACTCCAAGCAAATAAGAAACACAAACACAAAATAAAAATGCTAGTACAAGCAGTCAACACATGGAACATAGATTTATGAACAGTGACCTGAGTGGCAAAATCCTCGAGAATGCCATCTTTGCTGATGCCGTGCTCGAGGCAGAGCTGCTTCCAGAACTCCATCCCGATCTGATTCCCGCATTGCCCCACTTGCAGCGTAATGATTTCCCTCGGCATTTTTCTGTTTTTTCCTCCACGAAATTCAACTCACTAGGGTTTTGGCTATCGTCGTTCGTCTCTGCAAATAACTGATACTGGATGAGTGTGTACCAAATGACAGGGAGAATTTCGGAAATTTGTTTCCCCTTTTTCGTACAATGGCGGGGATGGGGAACTTTTTCAAAATTCAAGAGGTAAAATAAAAGTGGAGATTGTTATAAAAACGGAAAGATAAAAGAACAAAAAATATAGAAACTGGATATAAATTATACTCAATATCTTTCTTCCTTTCTTCTGAATATGCATTTTCTATTGCATTCCGGATAGACATGGCCACGGGTCAACCGGCCCGCTGCCCGGTCAAAATCGTTGACCACATGTCCGAGCCCGGCTCGGATTTCAACCGGGCTGCCTTCTTTTTGTCGAAATCGACCCGACGGGCCGGGCCGGGTCCGGTCTGGCACGGAAAAAAACCAGTTCTTTTTTAATTTTTCTATTTTTTTCTTTTTTTTTTTTTTATTTTAGCGGGCCAGACCCGGCACGGACCTAGGCCGTGCCTGTTCAGGGTCGAGGTAACCCAACCCGCCGGGCCGTCTTTTGGCCATGTCTAATTCCGGGTGCCATTTATAGGCAAACTTTCCCGACATTACATTCAATAATTTACATAACATTTATATCCTATCACTATTCCAATTTTTTCAAATAGTGAAATGTCGCTATTTATGCATAGTGATACATTCCACTTGTTTATAACACTTCTCCTTAGAATTACCACTATACAATGTGCGTTTATGCTGTCTCATTAAAAACCTTATCCAGAAAAACCCTGTGGTAATAAAACCGAGTTAAGGAAAAAATAGTACAGCCGCACATGCTCCCCCTCGAGTTATCATCTGTGCAAATCTCGAAGATGTCTCATTCCAATGTTATGAACGTGCTTTTCGGAATGTTGTAGTTGGGAGCGCCTTCGTAAATAAATCTGTTGCATTATCACTTGATCGGATATATTGAATCTTGATCTGTTTGTTCCTTTCAAGCTCTTGAGTGTACGAGAAGAACTTTGGTGGGATATGTTTAGTTATGTCGCTCTTAATGTATCCTTCTTTGGTTTGAGCGACACATGCTGCATTATCTTCAAATATCACAGTCGGATCTTTATTATTCGATAATCCACTGGCTTGTTGAATGTGGTGAGTCATGTTTCTGAGCCAGATGCTTTTCCTAGTTGCTTCATGAAGTGCAATGATTTCAGCATGATTTGAAGATGTAGCAACCAGTGTTTGTTTCTGAGAACGCCAAGAAAATGCAGTTCCACCAATCGTGAATACGTAGCTAGGTTGAGATCTCGCCTTATGTGGGTCTGATAAATATCCTGAATCTGCAAAACCAATCATTTCATGTGTTTTATCATTTGAGTAAAATAATCTCAGATCGGTTGTTCCTTGGAGATAACGAAATATATGCTTGATTCCATTCCAGTGTCTCCTCGTAGGTGATGAGTTATATCTTGCTAACAAGTTGGTTGCAAAAGATATATCTGGTCTAGTGCAATTAGCAAGATACATAAGAGCTCATATTGCATTCATATATGGTACCTCAGGACCAAGTATTTCTTCATTTTCTTCACAAGGTCGAGATGGATCATTTTCAACATCCAATGTTCGATTAACCATCGGAGTACTAAGGGGATTAGCGTTGTCCATATTGAATCGTTTCAGTAATCTTTTAGTATAATTAGATTGATGGACAAATATCTCATTCTGTACTCTCTCTATCTATAAGCCGAGGCAATATTTGGTTTTTCCGAGATCTTGCATTTCAAATTCGTCTTTCAGAAAAGTGGTTGCTTCTCGTATCTCATTTGTTGTCCCAATAATATTTAGATCATCAACATATACAACAATTATCACAACTCCATCATGTGATTTCCTTATAAAGACACACGGACATATTTGATCATTTAAGTATCCCCTTTTGAGCAATTGTTCACTCAAACAATTATACCACATACGTCCAGATTGTTTCAAGCCATATAATGACCTTTGCAGCTTTATCGTACATAACTCTTTAGGTTTGGATTTTAGTGCTTCGGGCATTCTGATTTCTTCAGGAATTTTCGTGTAAATGTCGGTGTCTAATGATCCATACAAGTAAACAGTCACAACATCCATGAGACGCATTTCAAGATTTTTATGGATAGCTAAACGGCTTAAGTATCTAAAAGTAATTACATCCATGATAGGGGAATATGTTTCATCATAATCGATCCCAGGCCTTAAGGAGAATCCCTGTGCTACAAGGCCAACTTTATATCTCGTGATCTCATTTTTCTTATTTCTTTTTCTGATGAAAACCTAGTTGTATCCAATAGGTTTTTTGCCTTTTGGCGCAATGGAAATAGGCCCAAAAACCTTTCGTTTATTGAGTGAATCTAACTCGGCTTGGATGGCGCCTTTTCAGTTATCCCAATCATGCCTTTTCTGACATTCAACAGATTTTAGTTCAGGATCCTCAACTTCATTATCAATTTCTTTCGATATCATATATGCAAATGCATCATCAATATTTATGATCTCATCACCTTCCAAAGATTCCCATTATTTACATAATTAATGAAAATTTCAATATTTTTATTTCTTCCTGAAAATTTTCCATCATCTTGATTCTTTTTCAAATTCGGGTCATGAATTTCTCTTTTCTTTCGAGGATTCTTATCTTTAGATCCAATTGGTTTTCCTCGTTTCAAGCGTGTCTTTGACTCATTTGGCATATTATCATTTTCAATTTCTTTTGGAATCTCAAATCGAGCAGGAGCATTTACAGCTGCCACATGTGATTTGGTCACCCTTTTTAAATCAGTAAATGCATCTGGCAATTGATTTACAATATTTTGCAGATGTATGATCTTTTGAACTTCTTGTCTCTTTGTTTGGTGGGAGGATCAAGATATGATAGTGATGATGTTCTCCATTCAATATTTCTCTCAATTGTTTTTTCATTCCTACCTAAGGGGGGAAATAATTCTTCACTAAAATGGCAATCATCAAACCGAGCTGTAAAAACATCACCTGTTTTTGGCTCAAGGTATTTGATTATTGATGGAGATTCATATCCAACATATATTCCCAACCTTCTTTGAGGCCCCATTTTTGTACGTTGGAGTGGAGCAATTGGTACATATACTGCACAACCAAAAACTCTTATATGTGCAATATTTGGTTCTCGACCATATGTCAACTCTAATGGCGAGTATGTATGGTATGTACTTGGTTTTATTCGAATTAGATCATCAGCATGCAGTATAGCATGTCCCCATACTGAAGTGGGAATTTTGTCCTTATTGTTAATGGTCTATCAATAAGCTGCAACCGTTTAATTAATGATTCAGCTAGACCATTTTGAGTGTGAACATGTGCCACAGGATGTTCAACATCAATTTCCACTGCCATACAATAATCATTAAATGCTTAAGATGTAAACTCACCAGCATTGTCAAGTCTGACCCTTTGATAATATAATCTGGGAATTGAGCCCTTAATTTAATAAGTTGAGCGAGTAATTTAGCAAATGCCACATTTCGGGTGGATAACAAACTCACGTGAGACCATATACTAGAGCCATCATCAACACCATAAAATATCTGAATGGACCACAAGGTGGATGAATAGGTCCACATTTATCACCATGAATCATTTCTAAAAATAATGGTGATTCATGTCCGACTTTAGTATGTGATGGTCTCACTATCAATTTCCCTTGAGAACATGAGACACATGTCAATTCATGTGTTTGCAATATCCTCTGATTTTTTAATGGATGGCCATTAGAATTTTCAATAATTCTTCTCATCATTATTGGGCCAGGGTGACCAAGTCGATCATGCCAAAGTTTAAACATCTCATTCGACTTTGAATTGGTTGTAGCATAAGCCTCAATTATATTAATGCGGGTGTAATATAAACCCGAGGATAAAACGGGTAATCTCTCCAAAACACATTTATTTCCCGCAATATTTGAGGTAATGCAAAGATATTCCTCTCCCCCTTTATTCATTGTTTCAACATGGTATCCGTTCATTCGGATATCTTTAAAACTCAACAAGTTTCTCGTTGATTTTGGGGAGAATAACGCATCATTCAATGTGAATTTTGTACCTCTCAACATAAAAAATATAGCCTTTCTAGACCCCTCAATTATCTTTGCACTCCTTGATATTGTGTTCACTTTCGCTTTATTTGTTTCTAAGTGAACAAAATATTTTCTGTCTTTAAGTATAGTGTGGGTAGTGTCACAATCTGCAAGACATAAATATCCATTTTGAATTCGGGACTGTTCCATGATCTAAAACAAAAAATATGAAAATATTATCGATCAATTTCGAAATACATATAAAGATGGTTCACATACTATTACAATCATACTTAAAAATTTCATCAACACACAGAAAACAGATCATCAATTATTCTTGATTATTTGCAGCTCCTTCTTCAACGCTGCATCAGCAAAATCCATTCTCAGCTATTCATCGATGTTATTGTCATCCTCTGCACGTATTGGTTCACTTCTAGAAGATTCTCCCATCATAAAATCAATTTCAACATTCTTCCCTTTTAGTTTGTGGGAATCCTGGTAACTTTCAACCACGTGCCTTGGGGCTCGACAATTTCAAGCCCAATGCCCCTTTCTACCACATTGATAACATGCTTTATCATCATTATTTTTCATGAAATTTTCTTTCATTCGAGACGTAGCATGTCAGGAGGGGTGCTCGGAAGGGGGCGTAGTTTCAGAAGCCGAGAATGAAGGAGAGATTCTGATTCAAGTTCGTGGTAGGCGTAGGAGCTGGGCGAGAGGAGCGAGAAAAGGTCTTGGCAAATTTTTAATGAATGAATGAACGGTTAGAGCTGTTAATGAGCCTGCATTTCTAGTTAATCCTGATTCGACATTAGAAGTATATTGATTTTTCCCCAATAACCGAATACTTGGCTGGCCTGGTATAATGACCTTAAATGAAAGCATAAGAGCTTTGATTAGTACTAATAATTGGTCTTTCGAGTCTGGGATTTTCTTTCTCGCTTTGGGCTTCTTCTTCAAACCTCAATTACATGGATCCTGCTTCGTCGCTGAAGAGGCGGGGAAGAGGACAAAGAATAGCCCCTCTTTTCTCGATGGA